TTTTTTTTTGTTTGTTTGTTTAATAATAATCATACATTTGAAATCAATAAGAATTTGATCATGCAATATTGACAAAAATTATTCGCCGTTAAATTGATCAAACGTATGTGGACATTTTTTTTCCATTTATAAACGTAAAATACAGTGAAAATTTTTTTAGTTAAATAGCATAACAAGGCAGTGTGTCAACAATTTTTTGTTTTTATTTGACAAAATTACGTTCAAATGTAATGACTAGAAAGAAGGCCATTATGATTGAAAAAAAGTTTCAGCATATCCAAGCAAATAATTTATATTTAAGATAACAAAATATTAACGTTATCTGACAGCAACTAAGGGAAATAAGCTTTCGGTACGCTACACTATTAGAAAAAATTACAGTCTTCCATTCAATAACTCAATCTATCACACGTAGAATCACTTTTTACAGCATATATTTCTCGTGAAAGTAAATTCGATCAAGTTGAAAGTTAATAAAATAAAATAAAATAAAATAATTTTATCTATTTAAATCAGTATCAGGTCTTTTATGATTGTGTCTCTTAATAATGTCAATATTGAATAATAAAAATAGACATCAAAGAGATAATTATTAATACATCTTAAAATATTGCAATACATCTAGTTTTAAATTTATTTCAGATGAGGCAAAAATTAAGAAAAAAGAAAGAAAGGAAAAACGAGTTGAGTGCAAATAATAAAGTTTGAATAATTATAGGAATTATTATAATCTCTGAATTAATGCGTACCTTGTTATTATTAAGAACATCTAGAAACTAAGTGTTTGCTATTTATTATGTGCACTCTCGTTATTCAAATTATGATCAGTAATTTTTTCTTAATTTTAAGGTGCACAATTCCTTAAAATACAAGAATTACTAAATATATACCAAGGAAAAGACGACTTAAACTACTAATTAATATTTAGAAGGATTTATCAGAATTGATAATTCATGGAGGTCTACAAGAAATATAAAAGGTATTCTTCGCACAATTTTGTAATAATACTCATTAGACAAGTAACTGACAATGTAATTTAATAATGGAGAAAATTTATTTCCGATTACGTTTCTCTTCTTACCATATAATAATTTGTTCATGGAATTTGCAACGAAAAATACACACAAAAGCTATGAAATAAATTTTCCATCTTTACACTGACATTTTCTTGATTACAAAGATTGTACACTTTAAAAATTAGTAAATAACATAAATAAGTGTACAGCGATTGCAAATAAATTTTGCACATTATCGATAAATTTCATGCTTGCTCCACATAAATAATACAATTGTTTTATTTATTAAATTAGATTTGCAAGTGAGCTTTGAATTAATTAGAAAAAGTATATACAAAATCAAATTATTTTATAATAATAATAGTACCACAATTTGCACATTTGTAAATTCATTATTATTTTAAAGCGAATTAAGTTAAATTATGTCTATAATTACACGCATCCACGCCACTTTGAATAGAATTCATCGCTTTTCTATTAGCAAAATGAATATTATTATTATTATTATTATTATTATTCATAACTGGTGTAAATATTTTTAAATCTTTAACTTAATTCTTTTGAAATTAAAAATGAAAATATTTTTTATTTTGAACTTATTAGTCAGTTCAATACTTTTTTCTGTTCAATTTTCTGATCGATAACGATGAAAAAAAAAAATAATAGAAATAAAAATTGTTAAATATCAAGCACTTAAAATTATATCCATTAAAAGTAAAAAAAAAATCTGATTTATAATAAATGTAAAGAATCAGTTTCAAAATGGAATTATAAAAAAATATGAGATTCATGTTCGATATTTTTAATACACATCATCGATAGCGTCTGATGCTCTAGTCTCATATTCTTCGCTACTTACTACTAAAAAGAGAGTGCTATCGAATCAGAGGTGTAGATATTTAGAAATACAATTTAGAAACGTAATTCATAAAATAATTTCAATTAAAATGTCCAATTCGATAGCATGGCAATCGCAATTTTTCATGTATAAAAATAATGCATATACTTATTGGTACAAATAAGGAGACTAAAGTAAACACTCGCATACTCACCCATTGGCGTTGCAGAAATATTCTAGTTAAGTGAACAGGCGAAGGTCATTAGTAAATTATATCCAGACTTTATTTTATCATTTCATTGTATTTATCTCATTATCTCACGAAAACTCTACTGGATGCATGTTAACTGGGTAAACACGCCAATGAAATTAATAATTATATTATTTTTTTTTTCTCATTTGTCTCGTTATTATTATTATTATTATTATTATTATTATTATTATTATTATTATCATCATCATCATCATCATCATCATCATCATCATCATCATCATCATCATCATCATCATCATCATCATCATCATCATCATCATCATCATCATCATCATCATCATCATCATCATCATCATCATCATCATCATCATCATCATCATCATCATCATCATCATCATCATCATCATCATCATCATCATCATCATCATCATCATCATCATCATCATCATCATCATCATCATCATCATCATCATCATCATCATCATCATCATCATCATCATCATCATCATCATCATCATCATCATCATCATCATCATCATCATCATCATCATCATCATCATCATCATCATCATCATCATCATCATCATCATCATCATCATCATCATCATCATCATCATCATCATCATCATCATCATCATCATCATCATCATCATCATCATCATCATCATCATCATCATCATCATCATCATCATCATCATCATCATCATCATCATCATCATCATCATCATCATCATCATCATCATCATCATCATCATCATCATCATCATCATCATCATCATCATCATCATCATCATCATCATCATCATCATCATCATCATCATCATCATCATCATCATCATCATCATCATCATCATCATCATCATCATCATCATCATCATCATCATCATCATCATCATCATCATCATCATCATCATCATCATCATCATCATCATCATCATCATCATCATCATCATCATCATCATCATCATCATCATCATCATCATCATCATCATCATCATCATCATCATCATCATCATCATCATCATCATCATCATCATCATCATCATCATCATCATCATCATCATCATCATCATCATCATCATCATCATTATTATTATTATTTTAATCCTTTTTTCTTTGTCTGAGATATTGAATAAATAATCATGTATTATTTCTTCCTTTGGTTGTTGTATAATATTCTTTAATTGATTGGAGTACATCGAAAGTCACTTGCTTAGAGCTTTCTGTCTTTTAATTAAGTTTTGTTTTGTTTAGTTTTATATTTTCTTCTTTATTGTTGTTGCTTGCTTGTCAATGTGTTGTCTATGTCGACGTTGGGATGGCAGTTCAGTGTCGGGAACGATGAGACGAGTCGGCCCTTTCGTCGCGACGATCCCTCTCCCGTTCTCGTTCACGCTCCGGTTCTCTTTCTCGTTCCGCTGGTCTTCGACTCGTTCCATCTCGTTCTCTCTCGCGTTCACGTTCTCTGTAGCGTTCGTCATAATACCTACACAGTACATTGCATTCACAATTATCTTAAAATTAACAACTACTACTAAGGTAGATGATCCAATATTCCGACTGATTTTGTTCACTTTAACAAAAGATGTTAGAATTAAAATGTTCAATGCTTATCTAGCTGACAATTAAAATGACCATTCTCATTGTAAAGATAATAGATAATCGAAATCAAGAATACAAAGAACAACAAAACTGTTTAGTGGAAATTATGGTTAGTAAAATTTACTTGAAAGAAAAAAAAAAAAAAAATTAAAATAAAAAAATTAAAAACAGTAGCGAAAGGTGCATCTACCCTGTTATACTTGGACTCGTTTGATTCTTCAAGCTTTTTTCCTCTATACTGCATACTCTTCAATTTAATCAGTTTAACTTATATTATATATTTGTTAATTATTATTATTATTATTATTATTATTTTTTTGTTTTTTTTTTTAATCACTCCAATCCTTATCGTTTTATTATGAAAAAAGCTTGACGATATTCAAACCGTACTTGTAAATTTTGTAAGTTACATTAAGATATACGAATCTTATGACGAACATTTCACTTGCAGAAGAATTTATTTTACCAAAAAATTCAAACAGTTTTTCATACTTAAATATAAAATTAAAAAGTAACTCAATATTAAGGAAGTGTGTAAAGCATTGCCAATCGATAAAGCACGAGTAGTGTTAAATTGAAAATTTTGTTCATACAATTCGTGTTTGTCTGTATAAGCGAATTATTATGATTGAGCTCGACTTCAATGGAGCTAAGATTTTAATATTTTTATAAATTTGAAGTAATATATAAACAGTAATAATATGAAGAAAATTTCGCATATTAACGAAGCTGTAATTTAATTTATAAAACACATATCGTAACGGTGGAATCGAAGCATCGATGTAATATTAAATTATAGACACGAGATTTTTAATAGCATCGGACAATTGAAAGTATTTAAATAATTAAAAAAATCCATTTTACAATAACGTTTACAATTTACACACCCCATTAATAAAAGATATATTTATTAATATTATACATTTGCCATATAATGGTACTTTATTCATGAAATAAATTTCGTATTTGCAAATGCAACTTACGTGATCTTTGTTTTTTTTTTATTATTTTTTTTTTTAATCTATGGATAAGTACGTGAGTGGCCAAGTTACATGTACACAATTGGAGAACAATTGATATTTTGCTTCATCATTTCTCCCAAGATGTCTAGCTACGAACAGCATTCGGGTTAAAATAAATTCTTTTTTAAATCACTTAGCAATGTTTGGCTCAGATGAATTTTCTCTTATAACCAATAATCTATGCCAATTGTTATGAAATATAAAAATTACATACAATTTTGAAAACTAATATTTTTAACCAGAATGCTTGACATCTATTCAAATACACAATTGTATCCTGGAAGATCCGAAGAGTATTCAACAATTACAAAAATTTTACAAGGCTTATTTTCAATGTTTAAGCACAACTTACATGAGAAATAACAAATAAAATACTTATAAATATTTATACTTAGAAATCGAGAATGCTTTCAAAAATTACTAGATATTATTCGAAACTCCGCAGCTTTACACAAGAGGGAGTCTAAACATTATCCAAGGACATAGTCTCTATTATCGATAGTAATAAAGTGAACGAGAGAAAATACTCAAGTTAAAAACAAAAAAAAAAAAAAAAAAAAAAAAAAAAAAAAAAAATCAAAGACAATCATCCTTAGAAGATCCGAAAGACAACACGGAACATAGGATTTTACAAAATTTTTCTTCATGCGTCGATAAGTCGAACTTCAAGAGTGCCAGCGTACAATTTTGGGCTAAATTTGGTAAATCAACGATTAACCCTCGCGCAATGGATCTAGCACTCTGCAAGTTACCGGGAACACATGGGCGATTATGCGATTATTCGTGTGTATAGAAATAAGCACTCGACAACTACAATAATTGAAAGTTCATCCGATTAGTCAGCTTTTTCTATGTTTCCTTTCTTTTTACATTTCATATAAAATAAGCGAGACGCAAATATTATTATAAATTTTCTTATATTATGTACATGCATTCACTTTAGTGTAAAAAAGTATGTTTACCTAGATGTCTTGGAAGATGAGACAGGTGCCGCTTCGGGCGGCTCTTCCTTTACTCTTGGCCTGGTGGACTGACGTGTTGTACTAATCAAAAATTGATATTTCGTTATGATTACATACTAAGAGGCCAGGCTAAGATGTATCTGGTGTATAAAATTTACAATATTTTGGGTTTCTCGCAAAATTGCGGTTTTGCTATTATACATTATCGCAAAATCTGTATAAATTATTTTACCGTTAGAAACTTCACAATTATTAAAATTTTGTTTGCTCATTCGTTGAGTACAATATCGAGATTCATACACTAGATTTTTTATACAGGTTGTACACTAAATTTCGTAATAAAAAAATTAAAAAAAAAAGTTAAAAAAAAAAACCTCTAACGAGGTTACAATTTCAACGCTTCACACTTCACCAAACTTATTGTACAATTCAAAAAATAATAATGGCAATGAAGCAAATTGTCTTTTAGCTCTTTTGGCCAAAGTAATCATAGCGCTGAGCACTATTACCTTTCTTAGGCGCAGAAATGATGACTAAAATGTACTCTATGATTATTCAATTAAGGCAGTCTTTTAATTTCATTTTAAAACTGCAATACGCAATCTTTTTCGTTTTTTTTTCTCTTATATTAATATATATATATATATTAATAAATTAAATAGGCAATTTAATTTAAGTTAGAAATGGTAAAAAGGTATATATATATATATATATATATATATATATATATATATATATATATATATTCTACTGCAAAAAACAGATTATGGAGTAAAATTCTTTTTTAAAGTTAATAATTCTCCATTTATATTAATCTTCTATCTACATAAAATATTATGTAAAAATTATTTAAAATGCGCATTCGAATTCAGTATTAAGCAAAATTTGTCCTGTATTGCGATCATTTTATCGTATGAATTAATAAAATAAAACTTGTGCATCAATTCAAGTTTCAATTATTCAGTACTGTACTCCTAAAATAAAAAGACATGACTAAAAAAATAGTCAATAAAAACTTACGTAAATAGTTTGCATTGTATCTATGCTTGGAAATAAATTTTCCATTATTAGAATGCCGTTAAATGATATTTAGCGTACTAATTTATGAAAGCGACAAAACGTCGGTTATAAAAAATATTCGCATTACCAAAATCTTATGGAATATTAGTTTTTACATTAATTTTATAACGTAAGTTTACTCGAGAAGCGAATCATTCGCAATGATGATCGCAGAATATATAACAAGCGTGTATACAGTATGATAAATGTATAAAGAAAACCATTCAAACATTAAAATTGCTTTGAACGATGTTTTGAAAATCTTTTCCATACAAAAAGTCGTGTACTCCTTCTCCAGAAAATTATAAAAATATAACATAAAACAGTAGTTGTATAAATGATTATAAATATAAAAGGTTGAAAAACGTTATTGAGTCTCGTGGACTCTTATCGTCGACAGCGCTTCAAAGTCTTAAGCTTAAACATGCTACTTGTTGGAGTTTGTCACTATAAAAGAAACAAAAAGAAGAGTGGAGAAAAAGAACAAACGATTCTCGACAGAATGAAATCTTATTCGACATAAACCATATATGTATATATATATAAATAAATAAATGTGGGTGTGTATGTATGCATGTATGTATATATACACACACATGCACAGTCACCACGCGCGCGCGCGCACGCGCACATACACCCAAAATAATACACATATCCATATACCTTTATATGTGTGCGCGCGTGCGTGTGCGCGAGCGTGTGGGTGGGTGCGCACGTACGTGTGTTCGTGTGTACATATATTTATTTATATAAATATGTATATACGCATACATTTATTATTTTTATTTTATTATTATTATTTTTTTTTCTTTTCATCACGCACACAGACTTGCGATAGGCGATATTACAGCATGACTATGTTTATTTGTAATAAAAACTACAAATTACTATAAAAATTTAATAGAAAGTACCGACATAATTTTAATGCCGTTAAATATTAATAATTGAGATTTAATTAACATTAGGCGAGATCTGATGGAGCTTCGTTCGATACATTTCACCCCAATCCGTCCGTACTACCTTATCTAATCGTACAAATCTAAAATTTTCTCGAGCATAATCCAGCATCTCCAAGCTGTACGACACAAGTGTCGAAAGAACGAATAACTCGGGAAAAATATGAAAATTAATATCATAATTCACTAGTAGTTACTAATATTCGAATGATTAAGTCTATCAATTGAATTTATTGGAGTTCCCACTCAAATGCCTCTCGCTCAATATGCTCCATAATCGTGCTCGCCGCCCTAACGCGTTTGCACATGAAAAGGGCCCATCGGTAGATGATCCCGGGCACTCCAAGCCGTTCACTATAATATCGCCCATCTTGACAAGCAACGTCACAAATAATCAACACCTCCAGACTCTCTCTCTCTTTCTCTTACCTTTCTTCTCTGCTCCGTTCCCGGTACTCGCGGTCTCGCTCCCTGTCGCGCTCCCTGCTGCGCGATCGCTCCCTCGCGTACGGCTCGCTGTAGTAGCGCTCGCGCTCGCGGTCGCGATCTCTGTCGCGCTCACGGTCACGCTCTCTGTCCCGGTCTCTGTCACGCTCGCGGCTCCTCTCGCGATACTCGCGGTCACGGCTCCTCGACCTCTCGCGTCGCCTCCTGTGGCTGCGGTCTCTGTCCCGCGACCGGGATCGCTCTGTGGAATGGAAATTTTCGTTAGATCGAGGCGGCTTAATATTGGGCATTGGGAGTCCCTTTTTCTATCCCATTAGCCAATCGATTCAATTGGATTCTACTGTGCATGGCAACTGGCGACTAGCGAATGGCAACTTCATGAAGGGAATGAATGGTTTAGTCATGAAAGTAGTCAAGTTTTACAATAATCTAATTGAGTAACGAAAGTTTCTAGTTGTCTTTTATTTGATAATGACTATGATAATTGTGGTATGAATTGCGACAAGGCGTTAGTTATCTCGTCGAGAATCGCGCTCGTGCCTTTTTTTTTTATTTAAAGAACGCGATTTTTTATTTGAGACGAGAAATTTCTCGATCAATGCTGCAGTCTCTGCATAGAGCGGCCAATTCGCCATTTGCACAAATCCATTAAAAGTACCGAAGACGTTACCTCTGCGTCCAGAGCCATAGCTTTTTGTTTCCACACCCCTCAATGTATCCTGGAGAGAACTGATCAATATTTTACAACGATCGTCAGCTGCCACTTTGGACTGCTTTATCAAAGATATCGCAGTCACCAAAGTTTCAATAGCACTTGCGTATTCGCCTGCAGCTGCATCGGATACCGCGCGTGCAATGGCCGATGAGGAAACGGTTCTGTTGCGACCCATTATTTCTTCGATTTCCTGTTCTGAAAGTGGCGGTGGCCCATCTGCGCGATGGTCAGGTCCTGGGCCTCCGTAGGGTGGCTAAAGAATTATTAAAATGTATTATTATGCGAGAAATAAAATTTAGAATTCATATCTATTTTAACTCTTAGTAATGTGTGCGTACAAGCAACATTTTTCTGGTAATTTCATTAGGTAAATCACAATATTGTTTATAAAAGGAGAAAAAAATAAATAAATAAATAAAGAGTCACGTAAGTAATCATTAATTTATTCAAACGCAATTGATGGTAATGGAAATTTTCTTATTTCTGCAATTTATCGAACAACTTAGCTTTTTTAAGTAAATAATGGCTCGACCGACCATTATTGCACAAGAGGTATTCGTAAAAATGTCTTTTTAATAAATTATTCTTACTTTGAAAGTATTTAAAACAATTATTAACGTTAAAGTAATACCCCACCTCGATTTATGATACTCTTTTATAATACCTATTGCAATTCAATTGAAATTACGATATTAATTTAATTGTACGGAATATATTTATCGTACGTTTAAACGCGATGTTTTCAATATATAAACATAAGTTATAAATTACAGTAATAATGCATAGTCACGAACAAGTAATAATTGTAATCAAAACATACATTGTTAGCGATGAGTTTTAAATACATAGATTAATTATTATTAGTTTAATCCATCAGGACGTTAATTGTAGAAAGAATTATTTTTACATATTGTCCTATATTATGAAGTAATAAAATAAAAAGGTAAGAATAGATAATGTAATGAATTATAAATTTCAAACATTAATCAATAAATATATTTATCAAATATGAGCATTGATATATGAATCGACTGAAAATTATCTCTTTAGAGCAATTTCATTCATTTTAATTATTAATTATTTGAAGTTAATTCAGTGAAATTACGATGAATCGAACACATTTTTGCTTTTAATTTAAAAAAAAAAAAAAAAAAAAAACTCTACTGTAAAAATAAACGTTCTCTTTGTTAAATTAACTACTTGGCAATATAAGCGCTTAAACTGTTGTCAAACCAACTACAGAAAAGTAATATTACAATGTTACATTATGCGAAATATTATTACATATTAATAGGGTTTGATATAAATGTAAAGCCAACGTGAAACGTCGAATGCTAAATGTCAATATTACCTATCTACCTGTCTAATATTGGATATTCTGTACTGTATCATTTACAAATGTCACATTTAAATTGCAAAACAGATTGCTAAGTTTTGTGCTAAGAACAACACCGCAAATAATATCGAATTGTTATGAATTTATGCTAGAGAATAATTTAATACTCGATTATGAAAATGTTGTGTATTTTTAATATAATTCGATCCTTTCATTAGCAAGTAGGTTATTAATATAACTAAAGTCGATTTAAATGAAAAATTTGCTAATTTCGTATATTTTTAAGATTCTGAAACGTGTTTCTATGAAACGTTAACACTACTTTTTTTACGAACCTTCTGCATATATAACATATAGGAATATTTTTTTTTGCATCTAATGTGTCCATCGTACGAGCAAATACTGGCTTCGAATAGTATTAAAAAATTGTACGGTGCTTGCGAGTTTTCTTTAATAATAATAATAATAATAATAATAATAATAATAATAATAATAATAATAATGATGATGATAATAATGATAATAATGATGATAATAATAATAATAATTATGATAATAATAATAATAATAATAATAATAATAATAACAACAACAATAATAATAATAATAATAATAGCCAGTGAGTGTGCAAGTAAACAAGTAGCCGGAGAGGCTGCGTAATATTAATTGAAGGTAACGGAAGAACAGAAGAGCTCGCGTGCGCGAATCGGCCAGCGATAATAACCAATGGACTGAGTATTGATAAGACAAGTCGCTCACCTGTGCAGCTGGTGGTCCGTATCCGTGTGGAGGAGCGTGGGGTGGCCCATGGGGCGGCCCGTGGGGCTGTCCGTGGGGTGGCCCGTGGGGTGGGCCGTGGGGACCGTGAGGCGGCCCGTGAGGCGGCCCAGGGGGTCCGGGTGGCGGGCCCCCCGGATGTTGTCCGGGATGCTGGTGTGGGGGACCTTGTGGAAAGAATGCGGGATTCACGTGAGGAGCGGGTCCGCCAGGAGGTCCCTGAGGCGGTCCTTGCGGAGGACCTCCGTGACCCGGCGGTGGTCCTCCCGGGCCTGGCAACATTCCTAATGTTTTGCGAACGTTCCGGTTTCAGTTGCACGTGTGTCAACCACAGACATATACCAGATATTATACACCGACAGACATTTACTACTTTTTCCACTTCAATTTTATTATTGCTTGCGATCTCTTGCCTACTTTCTAGACCTGCACTATCGTTACGTAGACAATGTGCACTCATGCGTAATAAAAAGCACTTCATGCTAACGGCAGATAATGCCAAAGTGACGAAATTCGAAGGATTACAATTGTTTATTAAGACATCCGCAACGATGATTAAGAGTCCAACTTAAATGTGCATCTCATTGATTTTCTCTTGCGGATGTTTTTATACAAGGTTTTACAGGCTTAAGGAAATTTTTAGGAAACGGTTATTTTCTGCTCGCTACATATTATTATTATTGTTATTAGATGCATTGGTATTATTGTTGGATATTACTATTATGTGCAAGGACGCAAATGACATAGTTTAGTCGAGTTAATTCTGGATTCTACAAAATACCCGTACATACTTTTTAAAAAAATCAGTATAAAAATATAAGAATTGATAGCTCGAATATTATACGAGATTATCAACAATTTTATATATTATGATTTTAATAATGATTCTTCGTGTAAAATATGCTTGTTTCTTCTTTACTAAATAAATAAATTTCCAAGGTTTTATTTTACAATATCTTTTGAGAAATAAGTATAATATTTATACATAAGCTTTTATTGGTTTTAGATAATTTATAAAATATGTATTTCCATCCCCCCCTCCCGCCCCAAGTTTTTGTCTATAATATAATATGACAATTATTTATTTTAAGCTGACGAATATCACAATTCTAATAAAAGTTCTAAAGATTAATTCTTTACAGTTATATTTTATTAAATTGCCATTGTTCTTCATACAGCTAAATAAATTTAATTTATCTGTATCATTTTATCAGAGTGCAGTTTTTAAGTAACAATGAAGAATGATAATATACGTAAGCCATTTTTATATGAAAATACACCAAAATTGATATATCAGGAGTTTAATTGATTTTAAACAGATAAGGAGAACATTAAAAAGAAAAATAACGTACGGCAAAACGCTAATATATAATATATATATATATATATATATATATATATATATATAAGAACTAAAGCAAATAATCTAATAATAAAAAATATATCTGGCATTAGATGAGAATTTGCTATTTTATTTGAATATTTGCTTACTTGAGGAGTAATTTATAATAACGCAGCTAATTAAACCAACGTAAGAAAAAAAGAGAATTGAAATTGAAATTGAAAAAATGAAAATTGTGTAGACAAAAAATGCAAGCAATTTTATCATACATTTTCATGCAAATTTTACGCTTTTTATCTTGTCAACGAAGTACCACATATGCCTGCATGTCTGCTTTCATGTCTGTGTGCACACACGCGCACGTGCAAGAAAAGCACTCATAATCAGCAGCCGTGAAAGTAGTCGGAAAAAGCCGGTTGTGCACTGGCTGCTGATATTGAGAAAATCCTGCCGGTTCTTTCGGACCGACAATACATTCATATACATGTACATAAAGACTATACGTGCATCTATATGCATCTGTCTGTTTATTTATGGGACAGGCGTATGTGTGCGTAGACGTATTTGGTACAAGTTAAATATGTGTGGGTGCGTGTGCGCGCGCTCGCATATGTGTATTTGTTTGAAATTAAGTTATCCTTGATTAATCAAACTGTGACTGGAAAGCAATTTATTACTTCTTATTTTACGACACCTAACGCTATCAGCATGTGTGATCTAGTTATAAATAAATAAATAAGAATATGTGTATACGAATACGTGTGCATAAACATATATATATGTGTGTGTTTGTGTGTGTGCGTGGACGCGGGCGCGCACCGATATAGAGTATGAGTGCATGTGCGTGTATGCGTGTGTTAAAAAAATAATATATATATACATATATATGCAAGCACTACCACGCAGGACAAATAATAATATAAAAAAAAAAGGGTTTAGGTCAGGGGGTTAGGGAGCCTCCTTGGCGTGCTCGGATTTCAATAATACAAGAGTGAAATAGCAAGTTATTCGCTGACGGTACCTGGTGGACGATTCCATTCAGGGCGTGGTGGAGCTCCCCGAGGATCACCTCCGGGTGGTCCACCCGGATGACCCGGTGGCCCACGCGGTATACCTTGACCAGGTGGCCCGGGAGGTCCTCCATGAGGCCCGTATTGCTGAAGTAAAAGAATTGCTCCACTATTTAGTAAAGTTTATCCACGAGATATTTTATTTTATAATAAATAAGGAATTAATTAAATTTAATTTAATCAATAAATCGCTTTGTAAAATTAAACATAAAATATTTGGTAATGAATATTTATATACATTAATTTAGATTTATTAATAAATGTATTTTCAAATTTCTAATTAAGACAGCACAATTTTGCACATTTATTAGTTAAATTAAAAATTTATATTTTAAAATGTCAAATACCTACATAAACGAAAATTCTAAATTACACCCATTTTGTGATTTGCACTGCAAAGTTATAATTTAAAAGAATGCAAACTTTTGTTTTCGAAAATTTTCGTTTGACTTTAACTAAGCACATCGGAAGATAAGAAGTAATATTAATTAGTTACCATCCCAGGTGGTCTGCCTTGACCAGGGCCAGGTCCGGGAGGTCCTTGCTGTGGTGGTGGGGGTCCTCCGGGTCCTGATGGTCCTCGTGGCGGTCCTGGTGGCCCGTTAGGTCTAGGCCCATTCCATGGCCCTTGTTGGCCATAGCCAGGTGGAGGAGGACCTTGATTAGGATGCCCCTGAAGCGGATGATGAGAACCTGGTCCTGGACCCATAGGCGAACCATGCATGCGTGGAGGACCCTGTTGAGGTGGTCCTCCTGGTCCGGGTCCCATACCTGGTGGCCCTCCTCCGGGTGGAAGTCTTTGACCAGGTCGCATTTGTCCTTGAGGAGGACCCATCATCATTCTTGGGCCATGATTCTGTTGAGAGTGCTGTGGATGTTGAGAGTGTGGAGGATGTTGATGAGATGGCATCGACTGTTGATGCTGATGCGAATTGTGTGGTCTTTGACTTTGACTTTGTTGCGGAGAAGGCGTTGGTCGTGATTTGCATTGTGATTCAAACTAAAATGAAAAATGACAAGATTTTCTTATTTTTGTTTGATTGTGTGTTAGCACAGATTAATCCCTCTTTCATTATGAGTACTATTTACCTGGTTAAGCGCCTGTTTACTCGGATATGTTACAACTGGATTCTGTCCATGAAGTTCTTTTTTGGGTAATCTTTCCATACATATTCTCATGCTTTGTTCAGATCCTAACGAGATGACACAAAAGCCTTTCGATCTACCGTTGGCACGATTTTCGAAAAACTTGACTTCAATAAAATCTGGTACACCAACATTTCCAACAGCATCGGCTATATCTTGATCGCTCGTCCACTAAATAAGATCGTCGGTTTAATAAGCAAAAATAAATGACATACCCATACCAAAGTAAATATATAAAATGTACCCAAGTCAAGTTGCCGACGTAAAGTTGATGTCTTCTACCAATTTGATTTGGCTGTATATTATTCCCAAGCTGGTGATAGGGGGCATTACCATTAGTCTCTTCGTTCGAAGTTTCCCTATCTCTATCCCCTCGCTCGCTACTTTCTGAGGTACCGCGCTCATTATTGCCAGGTGCGGCTGCAATTACATCATCGTATAAATCAACGCCATCTCCAGCAAATTCACCTTGTACCTACAAAAATAAATAAATCATTTCATAATCGAATAGAGTCTGCGTTTCAATTCCATATTAAGATTTGCTTATTCAAATTAAGTGCATCGACCAAAGTACATGCAATAACGTAATTGCAATTATTTTTACAAAGCATGAATAAAACTATGCATGGTTTTGCAATGATGATTAGTTAAATTAGTCAGTCTTTACTGTTACATCCAGTGGCCCTTATACCGTACCACATCAGCAGCTTTGCGGCTTAACTGCCGCGACGCGTTATCAAAGAAGGAAGACAGAGGAAGAGAGGAAGAGAGAGAGAGAGAGAGAGAGGGAGAGAGAGGGAGAGAGAGAAAGAGAGCGCGAGAGGGATTCCAATTAATAAATCAAGCGTCTCTATCCTTATAAATCTCATTGTTCGATAAGCCGATATTAATGAAGCGTCAGGATGCCGTGAGCGCAGGCGGATTAACATTTTGGGGAGGGGGGGGGGGAGAGGGGGGGGGGGGGGGGGGGGGGGGGGAGTGAAGCGAAATATGTAGTTAGTCTATCAACATCAAGATCATCACTAAAGTAATGAGCATGCATGGCTAATATAATAACGCAATGAGTAAAAAATCAGCGATCGGTGTAACGCACGCTAAGCCTTAATCACAAATTGGAATTATTCGTATAGTTGCAAGCCGCCGATGCCGCCGCCGCCGCCGCCGCTGCCGCCGCCGCCGCAGCTGCAGCGGCCTCCATGACGCCAATATGATTCCGCGGGTTTCGAAGCCTCGGCAGGCAATTATTTCAGTCAATAGCCGCGGCGATCGAACGCCCATTCGATAGCCGATCGTTTCTGTTTTCCCGTCCGCTCCGAATTGTTACGTCGCTCGGCATAATTACCTGCGCAAAATCCTGTTCGAGATCGTCGGCGTAGAGATCAATGTCACCGTCCGCCATTTTACGCCCACCGACGCTGCTCGCTCTCACAGCACACGACGACGACAGGGTAAACGTAAACCCGGTGTGCGCTCAGGAAAAGTGTGCGTGCCTCGCCCTCTCTCTCTCGCTCGCACCCGTGGGATAATTGGGCGCGCGTGCGCGCGCCGACAAGTCTCCTACGGCTTTCCTCCTCGTTTACGGGAGAAGCAGCAGCTACGCGGACGCCAAGCCGTGACTTAGCTCAGGCTATCATTCCCGGCGAGCAGCGGTCGCCCCTCTATTCAGATTTTCCCCCTTTTCTTCGCTCCTTTGGCCAGGAAGGATAAGCGCTGCTCAAGAGCGACGTCGCTCTTCTTACGATCTAGGCACTAAGGAGGGAATTCGCTTACATGCGCACGCAACAACGCTCCACGCGCCAAGAGCGCCAAATCATCTTTTTATCTAGGAATTAAGGTGGCTTGTATCTTTTTATTGTAGATGTAGACTTGGCTGAAAATTTGTACTCTTCGGGCGAAACTCGCTCAACTCGCGCTCGTCCCATTGTCCTTTGCCATTTTCGCATATCAGCGGGCAAAAGCTTTTTACCATATCGTTTATCGAATATATATATCGCTTGGCGTGGTGATGGTGGGGTGGTGGGGTCGGTTAGGTCGGTGGGCGGGTGGGGTGGATTGATCGTTGGATTGATGAAGGGGGAGAGGGGAAGTCAGCAGCAACAGCATTGAGTAAGTTTCACACCCATTCCATGTCATTTTACATTTAATACTTTATTCAAATTTCGTTAAAGCGAATTGTCGTAGGTACAACTTTGATTAGTGCGATTATCTGATTAGCAAATTTTTTTATTTTTTGTTATTTTTTTATTATTTTTTCTTTTCTTAAAGCGTAATGTCGCAGAAACTCGGTACACGTTCCTGTAAAAGTGTAATAATAAATATTACAGTCGACATTACAATTTCACTACAGTTGGGCAATTTTTTATCGAATTTATCGATTAAATGCTTTATAAAATTTATTAGGCATTTCAAAATTGGATCGACCAAGTTTTTATCCGTTTGCATTCTTCTTTCCTATTCCATGATCAATATTTTAGAGAAAGTTTTATTGGAGCATCATTCGGTTTACATTAACATGGACTCACTTTGCAATCCAATTTGATAATGGCATAAAACGGGGATTGGCGTTAATAGGAAAAATGCCACTCTATTTAGTATTCATTAGCAATTACTTTGGAAATTATAATTATCGAATAACTGCTGATAATTATGCAAGAAAATAAAAATTTATCGAGATAAAATTATAGAATTTACACTGAAAGATGTGGTATGATTTAAGCATGTCTCAACAATGTTGTTATTGTTAAAGGTTTTTAATACTGAATAATAAGAAAATGTGAAAATAAATTAGCAAATCAAAGACATTATCAATATTATTAATCTATTTAATGTAATTGGTGAAATTTATTAAACATTTTGTAAATGATGAAAATGGCATATTAATTTGTTTGTTTATTAGTAAATTGTGTTGTTTATCGTTTTATTAATAATAATTTGATCGATTAATATAAATATTAATATCTATTAATATTTAATCGTTTAATTTTCAATTTATTTTCAAGTGTAGAAATTCTTAAAAGTCTATACAAAATTTCGAACAATTTTATATTTAGTAGAATCAATTTTGTAAATTAATAAATAAATTTACTTGTGTATAACTTTGGTAATTTGTAAGTATTAGCGATAATTCATTTAACATGTATGTTTTCTAATTTAAATATAATTTTCAAAGAAACATAAGTAAATTTTAATTGGCATAAAACTTACTAGACTCATCATAAATATAAAAGTGTAAGATAACAGATTATATTTCTATCCAATGTTTAACAATGAATCTGCGGATAATTAATATATAATAATTAATAAATTTTCAATATTATCCGTATTTTTTTAGAAATATTATTTTTTGAAAACTGTAACTATTTCAACACATTTAAAATCGATTAATTACTATTATTAATGATTATAACTGATTAATAAAACTTTCAAATACAACAAATAATTAATAATTATCTTACAAAGAAGATATACAAAGAATTATCTTAGAAAAGTAAGTTTCTCATTATATCTTATTATTCTTCTCTATTACTTGAATTTGTTACAATTGTTTTTCTTAAATTCTATTCTTGTTATGATCGTAGGAGTATATATTTTTACAACTGTATAATAAAAAATGAATATATATTTTGAAGTGATTTTTAATAAAAATGTTATTTTATACAATTAAAAAAAATTTTTTAAGAGCTCATATTTTGTATTTATTAACTGTCTGCACTTATTCTAACATTTATATTTGTTAATATAAATTTTTATTTTTAATATGCTCAATATACGTGGTATTATAAATATATTTTAATGTTCAAAATAAATCATTTAATAATACTTTTCATGTTTATTTATTTCACATTATTTATACTCACATTTCGTTTGTATTCTTGTGTGTGTGTACGCTCATACGTGCGTGCGTGTGCGTGCAAGTTTATTTAATCATATTCTATAATCAAGAATATTAATCATAAAAAACTTTCAACGTTAATTATATACAAATGTCGCTTGGTAGAAATAAACATAGCGTATTTATTTGTTTATTTATAAGAGAAAAATAATTAATTTTCTAATTTATATGACGTTGTACTTATGAATACATCTCCACCTGAATAATTTCTTTCATTGGATAATGATTATAAAATATAATCTGGAGCAATGCATATTGCAGAAAGTCGAACATCTTAATTTCATTAATATAATATTTTTAATCCTCACTACTCATTAATTATGTACATTATTATGCAAATTCATTCGCGTACATTAAAAAATATGTGTAGTAGGCATATATTATTTATGAATGAAAAACGTAAACATGTTTCACGAAAGCAAACGTCGATATATGAAAACAAAAATTATTTGTCAACGTTTATGTATTCTCAAATGCTGAACCAGTGACCTATGACGTACAGGCATACATAAATATACAGTGTTCATATATATATATATATATATATATATATATATATTTATTTATTTATTTATTTATTTACATAGTGATGTATAACATTACGAATACAAAATAATGTTCACTTTTATAATTTTTATTAAATAAACAATGTTTTATTAAAGTTTTTAATATTATAATATTGGTGTCAATATAAGACTTGATTTTTTCTATTTTTCCTTCGTGTTTAAATAAATATATCGTCATTTAATCAATTAAAATACATAAAACATTATACACATTGGAGAATTAATTATTTTTAAAATAATATTATTTGTTACATCATTTCTCAAATAATTTATTATTTAACTTTAATTATAATTAATTAGAAGCTGTAAGTCAAATATGTTCATAAAAATTGATAAGTTTTTTCTTTCAACAAATATAATTAATTTTAACGTTTCAAAATATAAAGCAAATGTTACAACAATCATAATACCCATACAAACAATATAATACATAGGAATATAAAATAAAACTCATTACAATACTTGATACTTGCGAATCAAAAGTAATATTTATTATAAACACAAGTGCAAGATAAAAGCGTATTAGGTAGAGGAAAGAGACAAAAAGATAATGATTTTTTTTTTTTTTTTTTTATGAAAAATAATAATAATAACAAAAGTATTGTATTATGATTATTAATTTGAACAGCGATATTAAAATCAGTAAATAAGCACTTATCGGTAATAATTTGGATATCGCTATATAATAAATAATTTCAGTTCCAGAAGTTGATAAGTGTATACATTGATAAGTAGCGAAGCAATCACGTAATAACCAAAAGATACTTTTTCAAATTAGAATCAACTATAATAATCGTTTCAGAATATAATATAAGAAACTGCATAATAAACGCCTTCGCTCACGTTTGCTTTAAATTATATTAATTTTCCATTGGATTTCTTTCTACAACTCATATGTAATCAGTAAACGCATATTGTACATAAATATAGTCTATTAAATAGCTTAAAAATTGACATTTATCCAAAATAATAATTACTAATAATTGCTTTTATTATTAAGAGGATAAATGACAAAAATTCAATTGATTTGCTTTAGTGCATTGATTAATCGAATAAAGTATTCGAATGATGTGATTAAAAAAAATTTTAATAAATGAAAAGAAATTTCTTTTTATTAAAATTGACAACGAATCGAACTCGAAAATCGTATGAAAAATTTAGAATTGAAAATTAAAATAAAAATATTGGGCCGAAAATTATGAAAATTGATTAATTATTCAGTAGACTCCTCTCCTCATTATCAACAATAACATTCTATATTTTAACGTTAATAATAATAATAATAATAATAATAATAATAATAATAATAATAATAATAATAAT